GATAACAATTCTTTCAGACTCGTCACAAGTTGTGTGACCAGATTCTTTCCAAAAAGTTTATTAAACAACGTATGCCCGGTCACATGGTAATTACAGCCACGATCTTTGATTACATCGCTGTCATTATTCTCTTGTTGTTAGGTTATTATTGCGACGGTTATTTTGTGGAGTCAGCCGATATTATATACGTCAAACATAGGCCTGGTGCACGCAATATCACACGGTGCCTCCCTCGATCAGCTGCGGAATATCAGTTGTATTTTTCCGATTCCAGAAGTAAAACACAGTTGAAACAACAGTTTGGAGAGCGAAGAATTGTTTTCAATGAATCCCACACAAGATTTTACAATCCATATGGGTGAGGTGACATTGGATTACGTTAGCCGTTGGTCGGAGTAAAGATCATTGTCGGTGCGTTAGAAAAAGAGGTTTGATAGGGAGGGCTTTCTCTATCTAGAGCGTGTTGTGGGGAGAGTTTCACTCCCGCCGTCACGAGTGGTGATCGATAGTGGTTACTGGGATTCGATCAGCAATTTGTGGTTTCCGGTTTTGGCCAGGGCAACTGGAGGCCTGGACAGGCCGATTTTGTGCACATGGGTCAGGGCTTAGTATGCGAATTGCTATTGCCTCTGCCGTGTCGTGGGATCAAAGTCAGACTGGTTTTGATCGATCCGGTGGAACTCGATGTATGAATTTTTGACGTGTTTTAGGGTCCATCGTATGACCTCTGTCCACCAAGTGACCTACAATGGAACTAGTAATCTTACCGGTTTTCCTCTGACTCATCCATCTCGAGTGATGTTCCTTAATATGTCTCGATAAAAGCCTAGCCATGCGGCCTATGTAGGATGAGCCACATTCGAGTCTGAAAGAGTAAATGAACATGTAAAAGGTCTGCTCAGGCAGTTTGTCCTTTACCTGCATGGGGATCACTGGAGAGATGGATCATGTGCATTTCAGTCTAGCTACTGGCAAAATTGAATGACCAGCTGCCTAAGGTGTTTCTGTCAACCCCTCGGCATATTTATCCCGTTTGAACGATACTTTAGGGAAAAATTCCTTCTTCGGTATACATGGGACCGCTTTGCTGGTAACTTCCGTTCTATGTTCTTTTGGATAAACTGTTCGGGGTCACCATTTTCTCGCTCAACCTCTTCAACGAAACGAAGTCCATCTTGCAAAGTGTCTGTGTTGAAACGTTTTTGGGCTCTGAATGCTAAACACCATATTAAATTTCGTTTACGAGACAAGGGCACGAAGCTGAAAAAATTCGTCTATTGGCCGTTCCGTGTCTTTTTCCTTAAGACCCTCCCTTGTATTGAACCATCTTCTCTTCCGTCTAGTTGTACATCGAAGAAAGTCAATGTGTTCTTGGTTTCCAGTTTTATGGTGGAGGATAACGGGTGGTCGGCTTTGGTAAATTCTTCTGAAACTTTGAGCACAATAAAATCTTGATCTGATAAACAAAATATATCATCCAGGTTTCGTATATAATCAGTAAAACATTCAGTGGTTTGCTTCAATCTTCCATCTTCAAGTTTAGCCATGAAAATATCCGCTAGCAATGGGCCTAGAATGGCATCTACCTTGAAGACGTCTCTCTGTCGGTAGGAACATCCGTTAAACAAAAACTGGACGTTAAGAGTGCAAAGCAGCAACAGTTCCGTCAGACTTTCTGTCGGAATGCTCATTGCTTTGTTAGACGTATTAACGTCATCAAGTAGGAATTCCACGGTTTACTGAAGCGGAAAGTTAGTGAATAGTGATATGATGTCCAACGACAACACAGTCATTATTTTCTGAATGTCCAAACCTTGTATGACGAAAACGAATTCAAAACTGTCTGGCAAGCTGTGCTTGGCTGATTTGCTTTCCAAAACTGTGATCCACTTACCCGACATAATCTGAAGCCACTTGACAAATTAAGAAAAAAAATGGTTCTATTGATACTCAAACCAGATAAGAGATCCGGTGTAGTCCATATGGACGTGCAAGAAAGTCTCGGAAATCTTTGCAAATAATTCAAGTCCCAAAGAAACTCTTCACAAGCCACACAGGATCAGATGAAACTGTAAAAATAGAAAAAAGGCTAGCCGGATGTTAGGGGAAATTGAAAGATCATAGCCACCTAAACAACGGTACTTATGAAGGGCTGAAATCAAGCGGGCCGACTATTCCTCTTCATTGTTGCATCCGTGTTGACAAAATAGTGTCCTTACCCCAGCCTGCTTTAAGTGTTGGATTCAATGACGAGCAGAAGATGATGAAAACAGAATATTGACTTAAAAGTTAAACAGTATCAATATCTTTATTAGGAAAACCACCGAAAAGTAAACAATTTTTTTCAATATTCCCAAAATAGTTGCCACAACCAGGACACATCTGTGCAGATGAATCTCCGATAGCTCAGTCAAGGATCATTAGTGTTGCAAAAGAAATGAAAGTTTGGGTTTACACAGAAGTACCTAATATTTGGTGATGTGGATGCAGTTCTCTCTTTAAATATAATCAGTACTGAGTCGCGTTATTTTGGGTGGACTCTGATTTGCTTCGAGTGCTTGCTATGTTTGCTTGTATGCTTACACTTGAGGACTTACTACATAAAGAGCTCTCACTTCGTGGTTATGGATATGCTTGTTCTGAAACGCATTATTGAGAGAATATGAAATATAAATTTAAGTAGATCAGTTGGTGGAGAGGTATATTCAGACACACTAAGTCAAACGTAATTAGGTGGTAGCGATAAAATCACTTATGTTACGTAATTTCAGTTCAGTTCCGTTCATTTCCATTTTGTTATCATGAAAGTTGCACTGCTGAATGAATCTAGCAACAGTGAAACTCAAGTACGGTAGCTTCAAGTGCAGGGTTCATCGGACGACGAGAGGTCAGTGCCCGAAAGGTGGAGGTCGATGGACATTTGGCCAAGCAATGCATCTCTTATCCCGCCCACTACTCTTGTGTAGTTGTGAAATATATGCCAAATATTCATTTTTTTATGGTTTAATTTTATCATGCACCATTCTTAAGGGAACTGTTGTACACGATCTGAAGTGAAATGTGTAGCATACCTTCTCCGACGAAAACTCTCTTGTTGAGATTTTAAACTTCAAGACTTCGTTTGACATGGATCATATCAAAACACCAGAAATCTGCTAAAAACAATATGACAACATTCTTCTTCGCGCGGAATTGGTTCACGACCGACTGAATTATTCGACAGAACAGCCGGCCAATGAATTGGACTTAGAAAAATTCTACGTTCCTTCGACGTATTCAATGGGAACAAAATGGGGCAGACTTGAGGCAACCAGCCGAAATTCACTTAATTGCTAACTTCATTATACCAAATAACTAGGTGGTCTTATAACCGGAATTATTCACTCGCATCTGTTATGTCAGAACTCAAGCAGTATTGAACGTTGTCATCGATCATGCTTCTGGAATGAAAGCTGAAATCAAACGGGAACATGTACACATGAAAATCGGGAGATTACTTCATATGTCTGTACGTTTTAAACATGAATCTAAATGGCAGTTATCTCCATGATGTCATATAAAGCAAAGATGTGGGCGTTGCTTTGGGTAGAGTGCAACGGTATGCCACCAAGGGCTAAGGTATACTTTGAAGAAACTACTTTTGTATTCAAAATTAGAGAAATATCCTTATATTATGCCGCATGGCCAGTTTATATCTATAATATACCTGGTTCATTAGAGTTAGGAACAAAAGTATTTTGAAAGGTAACAATGTATTTTGTTGATATTTATTCTGTTTTTCATAAAGTTTGTGAGATTTTGTTTCTTGTCACCAACAATTTGCAATCATTTAGCACTGTGTCCGCAAAAGATTAGGAAAACTGTGTTATAGTCAATATTCGACGGGATAGTGTTGGGGCTGCTTTCAGTGATCAAGAAATATTTCTCTCGAATTGAATAACACACATAGATCTTAATCCTATTTTCAACGTATATAATAAAGATATCGAGAAGGTAAATATTTATCGCCAATGAAAAAAGTTTCATGGTAAAATCTTTCATTTACAAATTGGTTGTTGAGGAACACGGATGGCTAGGTCAAACGGCGAAACAGTTCGTGTCCTTTTTTTTTACTGTGATTTAATTTAACTGGAATGCCTTCAGAATTTGTTAGCATGCTTGCAACGATTTGAATGACAAAAGACACATCCGAGTACAGCCCATAGTACCATTGTGCTCAATAAATCAAAAAATGAAATATCAACCTCTATTTATTCCCAAAGAGTATTTATTATTGGCATTGTTACAATACGTTACACTTGCAAAACTACGGATGGTGTATGCTCCAGCAGTGAATAGCGTGAATTCATGAGTGTTGACAACAGATCACCTTCTGATTTTATGTCTAATTGGTTTACTGGTGAGTATTCAGTTGAAAGGATTTGGTAACAATTCAGTTTCGGTTTCTAACATACAGTACATACCCTCATTTACGTCGAAAAAAATGTATGAATTCATAATACTGACTTGAATGATGTGTGCGGACTCGTGAATATGACTGACTAAAACTATAGTCAAAACACTAAGATGACTTTTGGGCATAGTAGATCATGTGATCCATGTGGTCGTTCGAATTTCAACTAGACCCATCACAACATCCGTCAAAAGTAATTTACGAAAACAACCAACTATTTGAATCACGAGATGACTGTCTGACAAGAAAAGTACATCCACATTAGTGAAGGTATTTACTCGAGGAGGATAGTCTGTGCCGAAAGCTTGCTGAAAAGAAATTATTTGGCTTTGCTTGAAATAAGAAAGAGATGTAACCGCATTTAGAAGTCTGACGCCAAAGTCAGCAGAAGGCAAAGAAGATGTGGGTGGCTTAGGTCGATTGAAAACGAATGTACATTATGTATATATATATATACTAAATAAGTGGTAGTACAGTAAACAGCGGTACTTCCTAGAATTGCCGATCTTCTGGACATCCTTCGATCAATCAAAGTAAAATGAAAATTATGCGAAATTTCATCGCTTTACTCCTGGTGATCGTTTGCTTGCGTGGAATGAGTAAGTATTGCGGCGATTTAAATAATATGTTACTGCCTTATTATACTGGGGTTTATTATGTACGGTTGTCTACAGGATGTTTTGTGCGTGTCGCATGCCACTTTGTAAGTGAAGCAGCTTGTAGTCTAGAAATGAAAGAGATAGACGGCTTTATGAAAGACAAACTGGAATAGGTTGACGGATACTCAGCCTCGGGAAATATAGTGTTGACAACGTTGAGATTTCTTAAATAATATGCTGGTGAACTAAAGGAAGCACCATACGATTGCTAAATTACTAGAGGAGGAAAACGAGGAATATATGTGCTGATATAATGCAATTGAAGGCAAATGAGAAGGATAAATGGAGCTATTTGAATATCCAGTCTTAGTTGCAACCTTGTCGCTTGACTATTCAGATACACAAGGTGATTCGTCTGACTGATCTTTGATTAGCCAGGAACAAAATGTTGTGTAGTTTAAGGTTGTGCAAGAACTAGGCGCTCATTGCCTCTCTCACTCCACGGGCTTCGATTCGAGTTGATCTGATGCAGCCGGATCTGGGACAATCTGAACAGCTTTGACCTTGTTCGCTATGAATTAATCTGTGTTGAGTCGGGCTGTTATTATTTCAAATGTTATCAAAATATATGCTGTGACACGGATGAATGGGAGGTATATTGATTTATTATGAAAAGATAACAATAAATGAAAATAATAAATTAAAGAAGAAAAAACACTTTTTTCCCCACACAGATACGCAGATGAGCGAAAGTTCCGAACAAGCAAATATGGAGACAGCTGCATCTGAATCCAGCACACAATCATCCGTCCAAAGTGAGCATATATCTCCTGACAGCCGTTCCTTGTCTTCGAAAGTTCTCTATACGCATATAAAAAATGAGTTGAAATAGTAGGAACCTAAGCTACGTAAATGCATTAGGTTAGGAAATTACAGTTTTATATAAATTCTGAATCAGTCCCATTTTATTTGATCTGATACGATTATCTGAGGAACACTGTGTCATTTCCACGAGACCCGCAATCCAACGAGAGTCGAGCAGTAATTAAGTAGCAAACATGGCAGGAATAATACGAATGAAATTCGCACAGTAGACGAGTTGATATGGTTGCACATGCTCGTTTTTGTACGTTTGAAGACGTCCATCTTGCGACGCGCTTTCGTAGAGGGTAGAACACAACGCTGAGCAAGTGCAACTTGTTCTGATCTGCACTGAACTCAACTGAATTCATCTGAACTGATCTGCTCTTATCTGACCTGATCTCGTATTATCGCTTCTCATCTGATTTGTCCACTGCTGAATTGATTCGATCTGGTTGTTTTATCCGAGCTGCTTTGATATCATCACATGTGAAAGTCCAGTGTGATTCATGATAACCGAATTGAATTGACACACGCACCTATGCACAGATTACGCATCTATTCGGTCATCTTCTCGTTCACTCGATGATATAACCGAATTGATTGTCAATAATTTGCAGTCCAACAAACACAATATCTGATTGGACACACTTGTTACCTGAATACCCAGTTAGCCATCTTCTCTCCATTTTTCACTCAAACAGGTACTCCGGATGCTGCCAAGAGCACGACTGCTCCATCCACACAAGTGTCTTCAAGTGCAACTTTGGTCTCACAAAGTGAGCGCACAATGTACCTCAATCCATCTCTTTCTATCGAAAACCAAATACGTATCTATCTGACTGTATACATATATTCGCATATCTGAACACAGCGATACAAATAGAAAATGAAGAACAACGAGAGTAGTAGTTGCTACGAACCAATGGAATAGAGCATTATATATATATATATATATATATATATATATATATATATATATATATATATATATATATATATATATATATATATATATATATATATATATATATATATATATATATATATATATATATATATATATATATATATATATGTATATATATATTCTCAATTCCTATTGTATTAGATTCAGTTCATTTCAACACTCTTGCAGATATTGCCTCGTCTCCCAATAATCAAAGCTTTTTCGTCTTATCTGATTTTAGTTTTTCGTAGTCGAATTCTCGTATTGTTTACTATTTGCAATTAATTTAGATCGACATGTTTTAAACTGGAAAAATTCGAAATATTTTCATTTCTGCAGAACCACACCTCAACTAAGTACTTTGAATGAAACTACCCTAGCACCTGAGCCAAATGAAAGAAGCAAAGCTGAACAGACCTAAATTAGGCAAAGTTCACCTACCTGAAGGCAGATTAGGCGAGGATAACTCTTCTGAATCTGACCGCTTTTCACTCATTTCTACTGATGGTTTCTCGTCAAATCTGATCTTACTGAAATCGATGTGATCAGCTATGGTTTACCTAGTGTTTTTCATGAAAAAGTACCTCTCTACTTGAGCACACAGTTCCGGTCTGTTTGCAAATGTCTTCTTCGGTGCATTGATCTGAACACACTGGTGACTGATTGGCGTTCAGGCTATTGGTTACATTGTCTGAAAATGCTTGTCGACTGATATCAGTCATCTTTCTCTTCCTCGTTCACCGATGAAATAGGCTCAGGAACCACAGCTGCCTCGCCAGCAACCGGATCTACAGCCGCTCCAGCACAAACGTCCACAGGAAGTAAGCTCATAACTTCTGAAGATATCACTTCGGTTCCATTCCAGTAAAATTAGTATGAATTCGAGTGTGTAAAAAGTACCGTCATAAGGATTTCAGGGATCACGCTTGTGTATAATTGTTCTTATTGATCTGTTTCTAGACGCATCTACCAATGGTGAAACCCATTATGCCTTCTTTGTGTCAGTATATTAATTGTCATATACTGTTTGATATTTGTCGGCCACGGGTTACATTGTCAATGCAGTCCCAGTTGCAGTAATTCATTTTGTCATTTGCTCTTCGTTACCAGGTGATTCAGTGCGGCCTTTAATTCAAGCAGCTGGCTGGACTTTGTTACTCACTACCGGAGCTGCATTCCTCTGAATACTAACCGTCGCGATACCATTATCACTGATGTAGCGGATTTCATTTTCCGAAAGTCACTCAGTGCTGATAACATTGTTGTTGCCATTCCCACTAACCGAAATTACGGAAATACATTCTTTCAGGCATTCAACGTGTTTTACCTTAAATTACCCACATTTGGACAGGGCACATCTATGACGTCGAGCGAAAATCATTTTTGTCGCCTGAGTATTACGTATGAGTGAGAAGTTTACGAATCGGGCTTACGTTTTATTCGGTTTGTAGATGAAACCTGCTTGCCGGGGACGTCACTGGCCACAATTATTCTCATTCGCCATTTCTACTGAAAAATTCAGGGAGGCCGGTATTCTGTTTGGTGAACTTCTGCTGACTATTGGTAACTGATGTGACCAGTATTGCGTTCAACATTCCGAAATTGGGATATTCTCTAGAACAATCTCGCTTATATGAGCGATTTTGATGTCCTGATCCACGGCAGTCATTTGGATTTATCTCGTTTTCGATATCTAAGGTTGGGGGCATATATTGATGGTTTTGTCCCATATATATATATATATATATATATATATATATATATATATATATATATATATATCGTTAGCCTGTGTGTCATCCCAGCAATAATACGCTTAAGTGTAGTGCAGACCCAGTCACGAAACCTGTTATTATGGATCTGTCGGTTTTAGTGCGAATACCAGAGCACACGAGTACATAGAGTTAGCCACGGCCACATGTGCAAACGCGAACCTGTGCTTTTGTGAATACCTTTTTTCATGAAAGCTGCTATACTTGAAGCCAGCTATAGTACGTAAGCTTCAGAGCACAACAATTCCAACATAACTCTAACAAGAAACCTAAGCCGAATATTATTAGATGACATTTCGTTACAAATGAGAACGATACCTGGACAGTAATTTGCTCAATCTGCGTAAGACGTGAGTTCATCTGGTTCATTTGATGGGGATACACGAACGACGGGGTGAATTTTGTACATTGTTTTTCTGTTTCGTATCACGCAATATCGAACATTTTCATGATCACGCAAAGCAACTAATTCGGGTCAACTAAGAGACTGTCTGAGATGAAGTTCTCTCTTGCTTGATGTCTGATGCATCTAACGTCGACCCCTGTTTCGCGTCAGTGTGTCTAATGCACACTCGCCATTCTCTCATCGCATCATATCAGGCGGAAGCAAAAGCACACTAAACCAGGGAGAAAGATCCGGTGATGATTGATAGCTCGACTAGCATGCGGATTTGGACCCTTGAGTATAATATCCTAAATGGATTTGATGAATTATAGGAACCGGGTGGATTTGCAGTGCCGTCAGCAAATCACGCGCACGACGACAATGAGAAATGGGATTTGCAAGGCAGTCGTGATGGTACGCAAAGCGTATTTTGTTGTGGTGAATATGATTACTAGATATCACGTGAGAAACAATGTTACTCATGTGCCTCAAATGAAGCTGCTTTCATATACTAACGCTGTGCCTCACAAGTTTTTCTTAGTTTACCCAGATTGCAAGTTCCAATTTGAGATTCTCTAGGGACCGGTTAATATGCATTTCGGTGATTCCTTGCAAGGGTTAAACAGCTACATAGTGCTTCCACGGTATTCAGTGGTAATTTGAGGGCAAATATAACATGGTGAATCATGTCATTCAGACAACTGTACACAACATGTGTGAGTCGTAAGAGGAGTGGGATTATATTTCTACCGGAAGAAGACTTTCCATTAGTCCTATAAAAATCTACATGCCACGAGCTAGAATAAAATCAACTACCTTGCACTTACTGGACTGCCAACGTACCAGCCGAACTACCGATATACGGACATCGAACGCAAATAAGGCAGGTGTATACTGAATAATGATAATATACTTGGGAAAGCTGTTCTTATTTGAGGGTTGCATATAACAAGTTTTTCTGATATGCTTTGAAAAATAACGATGCAGCTTTGTTTTGTCGGTATGATCTTGGTAACTCTGAGTGGTTCAGTCATGTTGTCGTTGCAGGGTTTGATGTAATACCATACGATGTTGAGTAGAGTGTCGTTTGAATCAGTACAGGGAAACCGTTCTTTATTGTTCAAAATGTACTTGGTCCTGGGTATCGATATCAATGTACGGAATTTTCTTTGGGGGAAATACTAAAGCTGGGATATACTTCGTACAGTTATTCATGGAAATGAAATCACAGTGCAGTTGTGGATACGGTTGTTCTTATGAGGTGTATAGCCTACCTAAGAAGCCTTTGGTTTGTAGATCCAACTTTTTAGTGCTTCCTTCCTTGTTGCTTCGTGAAATCAATCAACTCTGTGAACTTTCTCGTATAGCCGATTCTCCACCTGAAATGGTCATCTCGAAACTAAAGCTACATTGAACCGACACTGTCCAACGCTTCAGATGCTGACTGGGCGTGTGAAAAATAATATTTTTCATGATACCGACTGAACACGCTTGCTTGAAGATCACTAGTGCGATATAATCCTGAAGTCCAACTGGAAAAACAACTACAATGTAATGTGACCATTTTGACAGAAATGAGATGTTTACAAAACTGAGAACTTCCCAATCATTATCAAATGGTCCCTTGTGTTTTTGGATACATTTTGGAATGGAACGTTGCTGACAAATTTAGTTCCACATAATAGGCTTTGCTTAAATCACGGTCCTTTGATTCATTCATTGAAATAAATATTTACATGTTCGACGCCTTCTTCACCCACCTACTCCATGAAGATCCCTACGGTATATGCTGCTGATATAACTAGCTGAGGCACCGTCCAACAAAACCAAAAATATCAAGAGAGAAGCTCATATCATTGCATGCGGAAGACTGTATTATTACCAACAATATTAAAGATGGAATCACGAGAAGGGTAACTGATCAGAAAAAAATGTTAACAGACACTGGTGATGAAAAACTACGGGGACAAACACGTATGATTTGCACACCGAGAATTGGTGCCTGTAATTCCAGTCTGGCCAACGTATAAATCGAATGATTACGAACGATCCCCAGAACTATTGTTTTGTAAGTGCTCATAACTATAATGATGTGATGTCATTAGTAAGCGGACGACGCTTACACCAGAGCCAAGCTCTGTTCGATTTCGGCTTTATAGCTCTCTGAAATATTTCGCATTGTAAACTCATCTTTCCTTTCACAGGATCAGCGGTGTGTTCAGTATCAAGTAGAAGTTTCAGTTTTGATTTTGTGCGCTCGAATCATATTGAGTAGTAAAAACATGACATGAACGATGGTAACTACTGCGCTTAGGTTGATTCAGTGAAGTTGTGTCATATCACATTGCTGTACATTAAACTGTTAGAGTACATAATATTACCTATTTATCTACTTTCCGTCATTGCTCTTTTGCTTCAGATTGATACATGGTAGACAAGTCAGATGGAAGTGGCATTGTTGGGAAGATCAGAATATAGTACTGAACAACAGAAACCACCCTGGTAATTACGAATCTTAATTAGAGTTTGTCCTTTTGTCTTCTGTTTGGTTACTTATTAGTAGTGAGTACATGCATCGTGAACCCCGGACATTCGTAATGTATTTTCCCTGTTTCTAAGGTATCACATCAGTTTATACTTGAGTTTCATGGTACTTATTACATGAACAGTTCACGTATTTGTTCATTACCTTGTTTTCCGAAGGTCTACATTTTTACGGTTATATAATCTTCCTGAGAGTTTCATTTGTACTGCCGAGCGGAAGCTCGAACTCCCAGTCTTATCGTTTTTGTCAGTGCACTCCACTATTGGCCGTCATACGACAACGGCATTAACAGATCTAGTGTTGACACGTGCCTTTGTTTACTCCACAGACTTAGCTTATTTGTACTTATTTGTTAATGACACTTTTTACCATTGCAACCACAGTCCAATTCACGCGTTTGTATTCGATTTATTGATCTTTGACGATAAACGCTCTTGATTTATTGACTGTACCGCAACCGAACTGCGCTACAGTTTCGTTCAGCTGCCTGCTAAGTGGACCGTTTCTATTTTCAGCGCTGTCCCGATTTTCGGAAGCTTACTGCCCATTGTTCTTGGTTTCTCACCTGGCTGTGTGTCCTTTATTTGCTGTGTATTTATGCGTATTGTATTATTTAGAAACACGAATCATCGATAAACACGGTTATTCGATTGGAATTTGTTTTGCTGCCCGTAATCGTGTTCTGCCCATATCGTGCGTGTAGCTAGTGAAACAAAGTCACTGCTAGATTCACAGCCCTAGACATGGGGATAGTCGCAACAGTTAGCCAATTAACCAAATCACTGCTTTGATTTACTGCCCGAATCGGAATTGGAGGAAATTCTGTCAAATGCAGCCCCGCCACGATTCCGACAGTGAACGTCAGTTATCACAAGGCCCGTCCCCGGACTCAAAGCTGAATCAAGAACTTAAATTGGCAAAATTAAAGATAAAACGGTTGGAGCTTGAGCTGGAAACTGCAAGGCGTATCAGTGATGCCAAAATGAAGCTCGCGGAGAAGATTAGTGATCTACAAGCAGAAGAACGGTCATTATTGTCGGTTCAGACCTCTCGACCACCTACCCCACAGCCATTTGAGAAGCTCGAACGAGTGAAAAACTATGTACAGTCTCTCCCAACTTCAAATGCTCAACCTGTCGACCCGATATCCTTCAAGGAACCTGGAATTCATGTTTTGACTCGGGAACAACCAGCGGCAAGCAACGTCTTTGAAACCGCTCAGCTACTTCAAGCTTGCATGAGCCTGCCAGTCTGAAAATTGGTCAAGTTCGATGGGAACCCAATGAATTACTTCAGGTTCATGCGGAGCTTTCAAACTACAGTGGCCAGATACACCTCCGACTCCGCTTGTCTATTGGATTACCTAATTTCGGCCTGTGAAGGCGAAGATGCCGAATCATTCCGAAGATGCGCAATCCTTGAACCTGAGGAAGGCTACGAAGAAGCATTACGAATTCTCGAACGGCGTTTCGGTGAGCCACATGTAATCGCAAGACAGTGCATAAGCGAACTGACAGACGGGCCAACCGTGAAGACTTCAGACTCTAAAGCTCTAATCAAGTTAACTGACGAAATGAAGTTGTGTTCTGCCACGTTGGAAAGGCTGAATTATCAGTCAGACTTAAATGCCTGTCAGACTCTTACAGCAGTTGTGCAACGGCTTCCCCATCACATTCAGTCCAAATGGTTCTAAAAGGCATCTCATATCTTAAGGACCAAACGTGAGCCCACATTCTGTGAGCTGATGGACTTTGTTTCGGACCAAGCTGATGCCGCCGTAACCGGCCTCGTTTATATCACACATCAAGAAAATCGTGTCCACGCCCGGTCAGAATCCCACGACTAGTAAAGGCTCACGAGATCGAGTGGCCACAGTAATGTCAACAGAAACTGATGTAGCTGCAGCAAGTCTGAAAGCTTCGCTAAATCCAATTTGTTCTATTTGTAAGGGACCACATAACGTGGACCAATGCAGTACCTTTCAGGGTTTGAGTGTTGCCGATAGAAACGAAGAAATGAAGAGATTGAAGTTATGTTTTCTGTGCTTGAAACCAAACCATGTCGTTAGGAATTGCCGATCACGCAGAACCTGTGGTCTGAGCGACTGCAAAGGTCAACATCATCCAATGTTACACAGACAAGGAACCCCAGAGGGTAACAGCCGGAGTATTCAAGTAACTGAACGTGCTGTATCGGTTGGATATGTCTCAGCAAACGTCAGTAATGCCATTCAGGAAGTGTCTTTCGCCATATTACCAGTCCGCCTCCGAGGTCCATTAGGAGAGGTTACCGTCAATGGTTTACTTGACAACGGTTCAGACTCAACGCTCATCGACGCCTCGCTCATGAAGAAACTGGGTTTAAAGGGAAAACGAGAGCGCCCACTGTCAAGACTGCTACTGGGGTTGTGTGACAGAAGGTGTCACAGTATCCCTAACGATAACCTCACTGGATGGACAAGAGGTTATTCAGGTCCACCGAGTCTGGGCAGTCGAAACCCTTCCGAAACTACAGCCGTTTATTCAACCGCAAGACTTGAGCAGGTGGGAGCATTTGAAAGAAATACCGTTGTTAGTTATAAAGGCCTCCGATATCTGTATACTAATTGGGGCCAATATTCCGAAGGCTCACTGGGTCTTGGAACATCGAACTGGTGGTCCCGACGATCCGTACGCCGTGAGAGGACCGCTCGGACGGGTCATACTGGGGCCAACTTCACAACAACGACAGAACAAACCGAAAGCCCACGTGCACCACGTCACAACCACCGAATTGGGTAAAAGTCTGGAACGTATGTTCAATTTCGAATTCGTAGAAGCGGCCTGTGTCAAACGTAGCATGTCAGAGGATGACAAGTTGGCTCTACGTCACATGACAAATTCTTTGCGCAAGATAGATGGCCATTACGAGATTGCCCTGCAATGGAAACCCGGAAGTCCATGCCTACCGGATAATAAATGTCTAGCTCTCAAAATATTGCTGTTCCTCAGGAAACGCTTTGAAAACGATCAGTTATTGAAGGAAAAGTACTGCGTAACGATTAACGAATATATATCAAAGGGTTACGCTGAGATGGTACCCAAGACTGAGCAAAACTTAACTGGCCCCCATGTATGGTATCTTCCGCACCACGGCGTATATAAACACGGAGACCGAACCAAAATTAGGGTGGTATTCGACTGCGCTGCGGAGGTTAATCAAACATCACTGAACAAACAACTACTGACGGGACCAGACCTTGTCATTAGTTTGTGCGGGGTGCTGTTGAGGTTCCGTGAGTACAGGTACACTTCGGTAGCCGATATTGAAGCTATGTTTCACCAGGTGAAGGTCCCATCAAGCGACCGCGATTGTCTGAAGTTCCTCTGGTGGCCTGACGGTAACGTGACCAACAAACCAAAAGCATATCGTATGACGTCTCATCCATTTGGGGCCACCTCGTCGCCGTCATGCTGCAGCTTAGCCTTGCAGAACACTATCGATTGCAATATGGCAATTTACGGTGCTGCTTTGATCAATCAAGCCAGGAAAAACTTCTACGTGGATGATTGTTTGATGAGTTTACCTAAAACGAGGACGTTGGAAGAATGGGAAGAACGTTACGTCACGCTCTACTGCAAGGCGGTTTCAACTTGACTAAATTCTTCAGTAGTGTGCCACATGCTTTGGGAGAACTGCCGAAAGCAGAAACCAAACCCATTTTCCTTGATCGACAGCTAGCTGAAGTAAAGCGAACTCTGGGAGTGCAATGAAAGCCAAATCACGATAGCATTTTTGTTGACGTTACACCTTGGGAGGGAAAATATACCCGGAGAGGTTTACTTACCTATATCGCTCCAATTTACGACCCCATGGGGCTCGTATCTTTAAGTTTGTTGCCTTCTAAATTGCTTTTCCAGGACTTATGTCGAAGACAAGCCAAATGGGACGAGGAAATGACCCAGGAAGAAATCGACCGGTGGATTGTGTGTCTCAGTGAAATTCAAGCAGTATCTAATCTACGAATCGACCGTTGTATACGACCGGTGAATGAAAAAACGGTTCGCTTGAACGCAGTGCAAACATCGGATACAGTCGGCTGGATACAAGGATTCCGCAATGCCCAATCTTGGTTAGGCTTGCTGCGACAGATTGCTTGGCTGAAGCGGTTTTGTTTTTGGATTCGACAACCACATGAAACGGGTGTATGTCAGCTGAACATCGCCAAGCAGTTGAAACCATCAGAATTACAGTCATCACAATTAGCCTGACTTCGTTTGGTGCAAAAGGATTGCTTTAGCAAGGAGCTAAGAACAATCTCCGAAGGATCAGAGGTCCCGAGCATGTCCCGGCCAGTCTCACGACGATTGCAGAAACTCCATCCATTTAAACACTGTGGTTTACTACGAGTGAGAGGTCGCCTACGATGGGCACCCCTACCTTTCGAGTCAAAACATCCGGTAATTCTACCGAAGGATCACTTCATCATCAAACTTTAAGTGCAACATTATCACGAAGCGAATGGCCACGCTGGTGCAGCACATGTGTTGTCACTACTAAGGGAACGTTATTGGATAACACACGGCTACTCTACAGTTAAAAATATGCTACGGGAATGTTTTCATTGTAAACGTTGGCATTCCCAGGCACAAAGTCAAGTAATGGCACCACTTCCTGAGGACAGAATGTTATTCCGCGAGAATCCGTTTACTGCTGTCGGAGTAGACTACTTCGGTCCCTTCTTGGTGAAGCGCGGTAGAGCCACTGAGAAACGTTACGAGTGTATATTTACTTGCCTCTCCATGAGAGCCGTACACCTAGAGGTCTCCTACACCCTAGACACCGATTCCTTCCTTTCTGCGTTTTCTCCGTTTGTGGCAAGACGAGGATGTCCCAGTGTTGTCTACAATGACAATGGAACAAATTTCCGAGGCACTGAAGCAGACTTGAGGCGATGCCTGAAGGCTTAGAACCAAGACAAAATTCTAAAGACACTTGGGAATAGAGACTGTGAATGGCGCTTCTCTCCACCGAAGGCAAGTCATCGCGGAGGTGTATGGGAACGTATCATACGATCTGTCCGACGAATTCTGCTTTCACTTCTAGCTGATCAGTTGGTCGTAGATGAGGCGTTAGTAACGATGTTCTGCGAGGTAGAAAGAATACTTAATGATCGCCCTCCAACCAGAATATCGAATGATCTCGATGATTTCAACGTGATAACACCCAATCACCTTCTTCTCCTACGAGGTATACCAGCGACATTCCCTTCCGAGCTACCAAACAACCGGTTGAACCGAAGATGGCGACAGGCGCAAAGGCTGGCAGATGCCTTCTGGGCTCGCTGGTTGAAGGAATACTTGCCAACACTACAGACAAGATCAAAGTGGAATAAGCTTAACCGAAAGCTGAACGTAGGCGACTTGGTTCTCCTAGCTGACACGCACGCACGGAGAGGGGCGTGGCCCAAAGGGAAGCGACGGACGATTCAGAGACGTTGCAGTACGCACAGCCAACGGTTTTCACCGGAGAGACTTACGACAGTTGTGTCTTCTAGAGTCGGACTTATGCTCATGAGTGTGGCTCGTGACATTCCCCCACCCCGGGGGCAGTTTTAATTACGAATCTTAATTAGAGTTTGTCCTTTTGTCTTCTGTTTAGTTACTTATTAGTAGTGAGTACATGCATCGTGAACCCCGGACATTCGTAATGTATTTTCCCTGTTTCTAAGGTATCACATCAGTTTATACTTGAGTTTCATGGTACTTATTACATGAACAGTTCACGTATTTGTTCATTACCTTGTTTTCCGAAGGTCTACATTTTTACGGTTATATAATCTTCCTGAGAGTTTCATTTGTACTGCCGAGCGGAAGCTCGAACTCCCAGTCTTATCGTTTTTGTCAGTGCACTCCACTATTGGCCGTCATACGACAACGGCATTAACAGATCTAGTGTTGACACGTGCCTTTGTTTACTCCACAGACTTAGCTTATTTGTACTTATTTGTTAATGACACTTTTTACCATTGCAACCACAGTCCAATTCACGCGTTTGTATTCGATTTATTGATCTTTGACGATAAACGCTCTTGATTTATTGACTGTACCGCAACCGAACTGCGCTACAGTTTCGTTCAGCTGCCTGCTAAGTGGACCGTTTCTATTTTCAGCGCTGTCCCGATTTTCGGAAGCTTACTGCCCATTGTTCTTGGTTTCTCACCTGGCTGTGTGTCCTTTATTTGCTGTGTATTTATGCGTATTGTATTATTTAGAAACACGAATCATCGATAAACACGGTTATTCGATTGGAATTTGTTTTGCTGCCCGTAATCGTGTTCTGCCCATATCGTGCGTGTAGCTAGTGAAACAAAGTCACTGCTAGATTCACAGCCCTAGACATCGGGATAGTCGCAACACACCCATACTGAAAATTTCTTTCGTCAGTTTACCAAAAATTCATGTTAAGCACGCAGCTATTTTCCAGCTTTTGGTACTTCAGACGAATTAAACGTATTGGCCAAGATAACACGAAAACGATTTTCACCGGATTGCGACAGCAGTACCGAATTGAAATCCAGTTTCATTCAGTTGTGAAATCAGTGGTGATCGAAACGATTTCGATTACGCCGTGTTATTCAACAATCAGATTCTAACAAGATTTATTGAATTTTATATTTCAGCCTTGTGTTGTGAAATACTTTCAGCAGTTCAAGAAAGAGGAATTATTTCTGAAGAGACGTTCGTCTGGCGAATTTCGGCAACATCTGCAGGTAATCGCTCCCAGTGCCCTGCCAACTCAGTCGTATCAAGACGATGCCTTCTCTGCAGGCCTGCCTGGTTTGCTTTCAATCGTACCGCCTGCTCACGGAACTATCGTTCTGAAATCAGTTTTTTTTTCGAAAAGAACTGAAACATCACAGTATGCTGCAAACTATGTGTAGAAATTACTAGAAACTGGACCAAACTGTTTTGTGGAAATTTCAGATAAGCTTCTTACTCGACTGAGGGCAGACTGGAAGACTAAATTGATTGAACCTGATGAAATGCGTATTGCCCAACGTATCGTAGATGATACAACTAAGTCAGATGAGCATAAGTTGTCATGGCTCAAATCAAATGCAGGAATGAGTTACCAGATGTGAAAAACATTGAACGATTTTTTCGTGATTGTTATCAAAAATACTGTTCTTGTAATCCCCAAAATCTCACTGAGTCGTAGAACAGTCAGATCAAAAGCTCCAACAAATCACAGTGGAATTTGAATTGCTTAACAAGTGCAATAGCTTACCGCGCTCATCTAGCGTTTATTGCTGGCTTTTGATTGTCCAAATAACAAGAAGGTTTGGTACGATCTAACCTTATTCGTACTGTGTTGCACAATCTCGCGCGGAAATACTATCTCTTCGTACATTTGTTATCGTTGATCGTTCTATTTTAGTAAAATCGACATTTTAGGCATGATAAAAAATACGCTTATTGTGTTGTGGAAAGGTTTTGGATCCAACATTTCTTAGAATATTTGTAAAGTAAGTTTAACCGCTCTATCCATGTCTTATTCACTCCCGTGTCGAAAAACGCCTGTCTTCGATTAGCATTTTGCTGTCATCTGAGGAAACTAACTGGACACCAGATTTCAAAGCCGTAGCTCCCAAAAATCAACAGATTTCCTCTCTCAAGTCTGGTATCAACAGCTAAATTTGTATCACACCCTCAGTTGGAACAGTGTTTTATAATGTAATAATATTACCAATAACAAGACTAACAATAATGCAGTGGAGACTGCCACATTTTAGACTTCACCTGGTAGAATTCAATTCACAAAAGCTTCCTCAACTGAATCTGTGACCACAATGGCCCCACATAGTCAGAGCAAGTTTTATAAATATCCCTCTTTTTTACGTAAAACCATCTGCGTATATATCTGACTGAATGTATCCTAACATTAACCTGTACACATGTAAAGCAAAGATCCACAAACGAGGTCGATCATACGATCGAATCGAATACAGCGTGAATACAGATGTTGTCCATTATTTATCGGCCAAATCTAATCATATTCGATTCATTTCATTTCGGTTCGGTTAGATTTGATTTGATTCGATTTGGCCTGACTTCTCACTTGATTTCCCCCAATTTGATTTGATTCGGTTCGAATCGATTCCGTCTTATCCGATTCGGTCGCCAATATAGCTGTTCTTCAAGGTCCTGTTCTTCAGGTTATGGTTGTGGAAAAGTTGCAAACTCATGTGTTTCAGGATTCTTCCAACCACTTCTCGGCCCAGGCTCTGTTGTCAAATGAGACGCATATAAATATGGACGAACAAGATGGAGCTGCACTTATTGTGCAGTTCTAATTGTGGTAGTACATTCTCGATTCCGTCAGATTGAGATCACTGAATTTCTGCCAGATTTTATTTTGCGCAGGTAATTGATTTATTCCTCTTATTACTGAGTTTTGTCAATATTTTGCTTTTATTTTAGTTGTTTCTCTTTTTTCAGTTAGAGATTTTTTTGCTCAATTTCGAAAGGATTTTGAAGAAGATGCTACTAAACCAAATTCAGTCCTGCTCTTTCGTTTGACCTTCGTTTAGTCACTCTTCATTTGAGCAACGAATCTGTCCTAAATTGGATAGGATTACCGTGGCTTACCCCGAATATACTGAGAGGTTCCTACCTGAAATATAGTAAGGTCATACATCTCTTCTGACCGGGTATTATCCAATCCTATTCTTTTCCAGTTTTGTATTCAGCTGTGGTTTGTTGAGTTCGTTCGATGGAGGCGAACTTTTGAAAATGCTCACACAACTCCGAATGGTCTGTGCTTACCTCCTCGTGAATTCAGATGCTGGAGCTGCACATATTTTACCTTTCATTGTCCGTGCGTTACACGAGACGGTATGGCTGCATATTCTGGCTTCTGTCTGTAGGAAGATGTTGACAATGCAAAACTTGTTTATGTGGCACAAAGGAAGCCGTTAGTAATATCCGATATGTTATCATCTTGTCTGACTTGACCTGAGAGCGAATTGTTTCCGGCGATCTGAGCTGTTTACTAAAAACCAAACTGAGAGGATTCAAGCTCAACAGATCCAAAGGTATTTGATATTACCCTGTGAATCATTCTGTCATTAACTTAACTAGTTTACACCTCATACACATGAACTGCCCAAAGCTGAACAAACGCGAAGGAGCTGAACTCGGATGAGTTGAGGGGATTTCATCTGAACTGAACTGAACTCCACTCATCGTTACTGATCAGATTTGATCTTATTGGGATGGATGAATTCAATAGTGATTTGTCTACTTCGTTCAAAAGGGCCATCTTTTGTTGCTGCGTATTTACCTCCCGTAAGGTTGCACGTGCCTTCCCATGAATTTATCAAGCCAAATTGGTGGCTGCTTGGCCATAAGACAATTAAGATAACTGGTTGAATAGATTTGCCTACTATAACCAATCGCCTATGTTTGCACCACACTCCTCAATAAAACAGGCTTAGAAAGCACAGCCGCTCCACCAGCTATCGGAACTTCATCCTCACCTACATCCACTGTGTCCACACAAAGTGAGCTCATGATTTATGGCGATCATACTATGGTTCTTCTTCATCACAACTGGTATCAATTTAATTGCATAAAAATTACAGGGATTATATCTTTACATAATTTTTCTTATTGTTTCGTTTCTAGATGCATCTACCTCTGAGGAGTCTCCACTTTGCTTCCATATGTGTCACTTTATTAACTGTCATATATTCATTGGTATTTACCGACCATTGTTTAATTTATGAATGCAAAGTTTCTCCGTGTAATTCATCTCGGCATTTGTTCTTCGTTGTCAGGTGGTTCACTGCCGCCATTGGTTCAAGCGACTGGCTGGATTTTGCCACTCATCACTAAAGTTGAATTCTGCTGATTGCTTGAACTAATGATACAGTGATTGTTGACCTAACTGCTGTAATCTATAAAAGTCACCCACGTCCCATAACATTATTGTGTTCAATTCAAACAATCGTTATTCCGGAAATATAGTTTTCTACAGTTCAAAGCTCTGTACCATAAATTATCCACATTAGGATCGGGCCCATCCGCAACGTGCGGCAAAAATCGTCTTTTATTGATTTTATAATAAACTTGAGTGAGAGGTTTATGAATTCACGGTTCATCCGGTTCATAGGTGAATCTGGTCATCCGGTGAATTATTTTGCCGCTATTCATCTCACACATCACTCCCAATGAAGAATTCAGAGAGAAACAGTATTCCGTTTAACACAAATATGCTGAATATTGACGATTAATCTGACTAGTAATCGGTTAAGCAGGGTGTAGTTGAAATAATCTCTGGAACACTCTCATTGATATAAACGATTTGAATGTCCTCATCCGAAGCAGTGATTTAAATCTCTTCAATTTTTGGGTGACGTGGTAAGCTGGCAAATACAAGTGCTTTTATCTCGCATACATGTGCCTGTTCACAAACGAAAGTTATTCCGTTATCAAACGATGAGCTTTCTCGGAGAAATCCGTCATGGACATTGACCATAAGCCTTCCACCTCGAATAGTTAGCTGTACCTGGAAAATAGCATTTAACTGAAAGCAAATCCGGAAACCAAAACTGTTTGACCAGGGAAGAATTCGGGGTAAAGTTCGTTCAGGGCACAACATAATCGAACAACTTGAAACTTAGTGAGAAAATGTACTGATTTTCTCCCTAAACTCACCTTTGTACTGGTAACAGAAGTCCAGCAGCAAAGCACAATTCCAGTGGAAACATTCAGAAATGTCCGTAAAATATCTACCACTGATAATTCCTTACAAGAGTCAAGCAGCTTCACAGTACTTCCACAGATACCAACAACACGTTGATAAGAACCTAAGCACGCTGAAGAATACTTTAGCACTCTGAATCATGTCATTCAGATAACTGCATACAGAATGTGCAAATCCTGAGACGATTGGAGTCATGGTATTACCGCACTGAGGGTTTCCCTTACGGGCATCAAAATATCCGTGCCACGAGCCAGAAAATAACCAGCCACCTTCTATCTATTGGACTTTAACTCTACCACCGGAATATATATATATATATATATATATATATATATATATATGTATATATTGAAATCGGGCTCAAATGACGAAGGTAATACTCAATGATGATGATTTATTTGTGAAAGTTGTTCTTTTTCGAGGACACGTGAAATATCATTTATTGATATCCGCTGCAGTCTGGTTTTATCAGTTTCTGTCACGTGGGAACAGTTATTCATTTTCTGATGCTTACTCAACACAAATGCAGCACATTTTACTGATATTAGTATCAGTCACATCCTGCAACGAAAGTACGCAATATCAACAGAGAAATGAACGTCAACGCATGAGTAAACTATATTATCACCGGTGAGCTAACAAAATGAATAATCAATGGTGAATTATGCTAGCGGACACCGGCTTTGAAAAATGCAACAATGAGAAATACAGCCAATTTGCATGTCCACATTTGGTTCCCGTAATCACTGATTGGATTAGGTGGACAGCAAGTCAGCCGAACGTTACCAAATGACACCCGAAACTTCCGCAATATAAATGCTTATCAGTAAAATACCGTAGTGACATTAGTGAGCATATGATGCTTGAAGTACACAACTTCTCGGTTTGATTTCTCTTCTAAACCTCCCTTATGGGAATCAGAAAGCAAGTATAAATCACCGAGAAAAGCTGTTCTCTGTGAGCTCGTTAGTGCAATGTTCGCATTTTTGATAGTGATATGGTCTGAAAAAGAAAACTGACGACGACACTGGATAGCTAGACAGTCATTCTTATCGGTTTAGCATTTCAATCATCGATCTATCCACGTCCGCTTTCAATCAGGTTTCCTTGAGTCTCGAAATACGTGTATTTTTGACAGCACGAGTAATAAGAAAACCTGTTAAGGACGGATGTTTATTGGACAGAGAAGGCTCATTGCTGCATACAACGCTGTGAACTGTCATATAATACATGAGTGTGCCGCCAAGGGCTAGCTGCAATCCGTCTCTTTTGTGTTTCATCACATGATGGCTCTGATTCATATTTCGTAACTCGATAGTGATTCTCCTAAAGCTTGTCAGCGTAAGCCCTCTATGAAAACGCATTGGTTTGAGCATTTTCGTTAGGATATCATCGTCATAAATGTCAGTGCTCATAAAATAATTTCAACGGAACTATGCCAGAAACGATGCAGAGCCGTTTAAGGGGCTCGCCATTGTCATTTTACATGTTACCTCACAACAACAAGATGTTATACAATATTTTAATAATAACCCATTATTCCGCTCATTCTGTATTGGTATAACGATCGTTTTGTATTTTCGTTTTCATTCAGAGTTTTGCATAATTTTTCAAGATGAAATTATTGTGAGACACTAATTTCAATAAACTTTCAACGATATTTTTCGATATCAATCCAAAATTGCTCTGTTTAGAGTTTTCAATGTGGTAAAGTCTCCGACCACGTCCATGTACGGTATAATCATCCCGCAAGAAATTATCTGGTGTGACAAATCTGTAGAGTAGGATGATATTATAATTGGTAGGATTTATGTTGCAAATTCTCCGTGAATGTTAAACAGTAAGAAACCATCATCTCTATAACGATGATAGTCAGGAAGTCATGTGCAGTGACCAAACTTTCATAACTTTTCTCACGAGCTAATCTGACAGTGGGAAACAATAGGGTAGTACTTTTTTGATTTTTTTCCAGACTGCTTGCCTCTGTTTGTCAAATATTTGGAGATGGTAAATTTTCGGACTAAATGTTCGACGACTATCTATTGCTAGCTATATATTGAAACCAGAATCTGAAATTGAATGGGTCAAATTCGCAAGGTGTTTTGCTTAACTGATAATGGAAGTTGCATGAAACTTCACCTATTGTACGGAATGGGGTTTTCAGCCGGCAGAACTCTTTAGATGGCATGTGTGTGTGGCATTATGTAACCACAACAACACTCATTGACTGGAATCCCCGCATTTTTAGGAGAACCTTATTTGGAGGCATTACGACAGCTGCACGGAACATCCACTGCAAACTTGTGACCATCGGTCAGAAATGTGTCACATACACTTTATTGGGAGAGCTAAATGACACTCTCGGGGTAAATTTTAGGGGAGCTTATCTGATAAACCTGAAATTCAGGTTTGCGATGATGGATCACAATTGTGGGGTCCCTCTTGCGTTCACTCTGTGTTGTCCAGTTCTTAAAATCTTTCACTCGGATCCAAAAATAATAATAATATTGCACGCACTGTCCTCTTCGCACTACTCGCTCGTCATTGAAGACAGCTGTATGGAGCAGTATACTTAAACCACAAAGTAAAAGAGTGATGTACTTCCTATAATCAATATTCAAAGTATTGGACCACAACAGTTTAAATGCCAATGTTTAACAAAATATGTCATGATAATCCGTTTAAATATGAACATACGCTCATAAGTATCCAATGAACAGTGCATAAAATGAAAATCAGAATGGGCATTTCAAAATGAATTTTTCAGTTTCTAATGCAATTCTAATGCAAACCAAGTGAATGACCGTAGGGAAACCAGGTGCTGAGTTGAGGAATATATTACAGAAAAACTTAATTCGGTTTATTGAACGACGGGATACAAGTTCCTCCAGCGGTCATCACATCATTGAAAAAGTTGCTAACATCAAAGTAAAATCAGTATCTTTCCTCTTATTTAGTTTGTCTTCTCTTGAAAAAAATGCATTGATTTATTCTTTCAGTGGAACCGTTCTTGAGATTGACTGCAATGTTCCTCAATATCTACGGATTACACCGGAAGCAAGGCCACATCCTAAATGTAAACATATTTTCCCATCCCGAATGATTTTGCGGTTGAAAACCCTCAGGAGCGAACACACCTTTCGTGTGACTACGACTATCGGGTAGCATATCCACACTGTAGTATGAAATCCCACTTGATCCTATGCTGAACAAAGCTCAAAGGCTCTTTTTTGTGACATGTTAAAGAAGTTGTACTTGGGTAAGTATGTGTGAACATCGTAGGCCCTTCATATGGTGCACAGAAAGTCAGCGGAAACATTTGGCAAAATGCACCAGAAATTCCGCGTGTGTCGTGCTTGTTGCTGTGCGTGCTCAGGTGAAAAGGTCTTCCAAATGAAAGCTCTTGATCCTTGCTTATAAAGTACCGTTGAGATTGCAAAAAAATGGAATTTTCGTGAAGGGTGATGCATACCACTTCGTTGTAGAGAGAACACAAATTCACACGATTGTAATAATGAGATCACCATCAAAACTAAGGACCTAAAAGGCAGCGAAAAGTCTCGCATTCACTTCTGGTTTATCTCCGTGACACTAACAGAGCTATATAGGACTTGTTTCACAATGATCGTCGAAAACTTGAATGTTGCTCCGGGAAACGCTGACAGAGGTGGCACGTAATATGAAGCACAGTGATCATCGTGCTAGCAGTGGTTGGTTCTACGAATTCCCCAAACCATACAGAACTAGCTGTAGACTGCTGAACGTTGAGTTCTCACAAGTTTGAAGTGAAATGGATATATTGTTATAATGATAATGGCTTGTTAACTGAACCGAGCTCGGTCGCTCTGAGTAAAATTACCCAAGTATTACAAACAAGATTTTTTGCACACTAGTTGCCCTGTTCACTTGAAAACAGTCATCAACCTATGGGAAAGCAGTTGTTCGGTTTGTTTGTTGTCTTTCATTTTATTGCTTCTGGTCTGTTGACAAAGCAGCATTTGTTAATGCACAACTGTCCATAATTCCGTTTTCGGCAATCGACTACTCACTAAGTAGCATATACGCTCCACCAAACTCCTCCCCCTGACAGAAGAAGAACGAACTAAATCCTGCAGACTGCCTTCAAGTCCTCCTCCCCTTCAAAT